GTCCTGGGATCAAGCCCCGCATCGGGCTCCCTGCTCGGCGGGAAGCCTGCTTCTCCCTCTCCCACTCCCCCTGCTTGTGTTCCCTTTCTCGCTGTGTCTCTCTCTGTCAAATAAATAAATAAAAGCTTTTAAAAAAAAAGGATTAAAAAAATTACCACAGAGTTTCTCTCTACAAATGTTATAAAATTACTATATCTTTGATTTACAAAACTGCTTGCTTATACATATATTGGGCAGAGAAAATACATCATTTACAGATTTGATTATATAAAATACAAATGTAATGTATGTATATAAAACATATAATAGAATTTATTCTTAAGAATGATGAGATATATGAGATATAATCATACTTCTAAGAATTTAATCTGCTAGATAAATTGTAATTCTTGTAAAGGTTTAAATATTTATATTTTGAGCAAACATTTTAATGCTGATGCATAATCAGTGCACTCAGAATCAGGGAAATGCATGGGGTTGATCAGTATATTTGATCCATGTTGCTAATGTGCTTGAAATATTTGTGCAAAGAAATTTTGCCATTTCTGGAAATGGAGTAAAAAAATGTTATTAGCTATTAACTATTAGCTTTCATTAAGCATGCAACTGTCCATAAAAATATATAGTGTTTTTTATGTGTTCACTTAAACTTTACATAAAGGACATTATAGTAGTATGTATCATTCTTCAGCTCCCTTTTGTCCCTCAACAATTTGTTTTAACTGCTGTATGTTATTCTTTTATCTACAACTAAGTTTATCTATTCCCCTGCAATGGACATTTAGATTGTTTCCAATTTTTCAGTGCTAGAATTCTTCAGTGATTGTTCTTGTGATTTATTTCCTTGAGCACATATGGTATATAATCTAGAAGTGAAATTGAATGGTATATAAATGGTATGCAGCCTTATTAGATATTACCAGATTTTTCTCTGAAGTAGTTGTACCACATGATATTGCCTCTAGTATTGTATGAAGGTTCTTGTTTCACATTTTTCCCGATACCTGAATGTGAAAGTTTTAAATTTTGTCTAGCCTGAAAAGTGTGAAATTTCATTGTTTTAATATTTATTGGTATAGACAATACTGGTACAGATAGAGACTGTGCTTATTTTCTTATTTTTATTAGTTAATGGATTTTCCTTTTCTATGAACTGTACAATTGTATACTATGCCAATTTTTCTACTGTGTTGTCTCTTTATAAAAAATTCTTTTTAGGGGCGCCTGGGTGGCTCAGTCGGTTAAGCGTCTGCCTCCGGCTCAGGGCGTGATCCCGGAGTCTTGGGATCACGGGCCCCCTGTTCACTGGGGAGTCTGCCTCTCCCTCTCCCTCTGCCCCTGCTTGTGCTCTCTCTCTCTCTCTCTCTGTGTCAAATAAATAAATAAAATCTTTAAAAATATATATTTATTTATTTTGAGAGAGTGGGCATGCGTGCACGTGCACCAGTGCAGGGGAGGAGCAGAGGGAGAGGGACAGAATTCCAAGCAGACACCCCTCTGAGCGCAGAGCCCAAGGCAGGGCTTGACCCCATGGCCCCTGAGACCATGCATGACCGGGCCGAAATCAAGAGTAGGGCGCCTAACCAACTGAGCCACCCAGGCGCCCCATCTTTTTTTTTTTTAATTGATTATAGGTCTCTATGTAATCTGAATACTATGCCTATTCTTGGTTATATACTTTGCAAATATTTTCTCCAGGTGTGTGGTTTGTATTTTAATTTTATTTCACGATAATCTTGCTGTTGTAGAAGTTTTTAATTGTGGTATAAGAAATATTATCAATCTTTTCCCTTAAGGTTTTTATGTCTTTTTCTTTTTCTTTTTCTCTTATCTAAGAAACCCTCCCTAGTCTGGTAGCCTCACAAAGTTTTTAAAGTTTGCATTAGATCATTAATCTACATAGAACTATGTTGTATGTTGTAAGTAGTATCAATTTTTTCCGTATGGATTACTCATGGTACTAATATTGGTTATTGAATAATCTGTACTTTCATCTCTAATTTGTGTGTTTGGGTCTGTTTGAGGTTTTTTTTTTCCCCCATTATTCTATTGACTTATTTCTGTAGTCATAGAAAACATGCATTTCTATTTTTCTGTGAATTCATTACATAGCCCCTTGGAATGTTTCCCTGCCTTCCATAGTTTCTGTCCGACAAACAGTAGTCTGTGGACATCAGTTTGGTCCCTGATATTGAATCGGTGAGGTGGTCATTAGTGCAGTCTACCACATATGATTCCAGCTCTGCCTTCTGGGAAACGGTGCAACTGCGTTTCCTACTCTCTTTGCATTTAGGCACAAACATAGGACTTATTTGCAATAGTTTCATTCTTTTATAGAAGCTTTAACTAGAAACTCCAGGAACCAGTCTGTGATTGGCCACATGTTTTACTCCTGCCTCAGCAATCGTGGAAGCGTGGGGACAGAAATGCCCTGGTAGAGCTAGTGATAGATTTAGAGCAGAGCCCAGGGCGACCTTTCGGACATGCAGCTGAGGGAAAAACAAGTCTTCATTGTCTTAAACCATGGAGATTTTTAGCACTGTTCATTACTCTAATATAACCTGGCTTATCCTAACTGATATAGTTAAGATTGTGTAATTTCCAACTTGATGATTGGCAAAATGGTAAACAAGCACCTTGCCTTTGCTAGGAGGTAATGATTATGTTTTAATGTCTCTCTTTTCACTTCCTTTCCCCTCTTCCTTCCGATTGTATCACCCTCAGTGCACTCATACTCTCCAATATCCATGACCTGTCAGACCAATTGGAGCCAATTTGGTATGGCCTGTATGTCCTCCCTCAGCCTGCAGCTCCTCACACAGCCTGGGTATCTTCCCTCAAGCCTACATTTCCTCTCTTTGAGTGTCCACATTTTTAAAGATGATACCTGAAAAGATAAAATCTGTACCTAAGATTTTGTTGTACCTAAAATCTTAAATGATAAAGATTAACTTTGTGACTCTAGAGTGAGGGGCCATCAGTGAAAAGCAGGTTTTCTCAACTTCCTTTTATTATAACATTAGTGTCTATTGACTCGATATACATCTTAGGCTGGCTCCAGCTTAAAATCCGTAATTCTTGGGGCACCTGGGTGGCTTAGTTGGTTAAGCATCCAACTCTTGATTTCAGCTCAGGTCATGATCCCAGGGTCCTGGCATTGAGCCCCGCATTGGGCTCCCTGCTTAGCGGGGAGTCTGCTTCTCCGTCTCCCTCTGTCTGCTGCTTCCCCTGCTTGTGCTCTCTCTCTCTGTCAAATAAATAAATAAATAAAATCTCAAAAATAAAATAAAATCCATAATACTTTGTTAGGGTTAATCACATTCACAAACGTGTGTGTTCAGTATCTGACTTTTATATTTCTGGAATGTTCAGGATAGGAGAGTAAAGATAAGAAGTGGGGGTGGCCCTAGGAGGATACTTCCCAGGTGGAAGCATCTTTTTCATATCATCTCTCCACCAAGGACAATTTCCTTTATATCTGATAAGTTTCTCCTAAACATGCAAAATTGTCTCATATTATGGTGGCATTGGGCAGTAATGAATGGAGTTGGGGGGGGAGGAATTAATGCCCAGAGAACTACATTTTTAATTGTTCACACTTTAATGTGGAGTATATGAATCCATTGATTGGAATGTTTGTCTCCTCACACCTAGAAGGTGTTAGGTGAGGTGGTGAAAGTTTGATGGTGATGATGAGTAATTATAGAGCATGGAACCCAGCTGGCTAATGTGGTGGGCCCACCCTGGAGGCTTTGAATTTGACAGAAGGAGGACACATTACCTCTCAGACAGAATGCAGATGTGAGAAGGAATGTGGTAGCAGGCATCAGCCAAATTCCTATTCTATAATTTTTAAAAGGCTCCTGGTGAGGGTTACAGACATCCAGAAAAATCATCTCAAGTATCGAAAGGTACATTTATACCTGTAATAGTTTCACTGAAGAATAGCAAACATTTCTGATGTTCGAACACTTTCTTGCCAAACTTTCTGCTCCTTAAGAAAATGACTCTTGATTGGTTAATTAAAGTTTACATCTGTCTCTTTTTAGGTGGTTCTTTGGAGCAATCAAGAGAACAGATGCAGAAAAACAACTATTATATTCAGGAAATCAGACTGGTGCCTTTCTAATCAGAGAAAGTGAAAGCCAGAAAGGAGATTTCGCCCTTTCAGGTATGGGCATTGTTTTGTGTGAGTTAAGTGTGGGTTTGAGAGTCTGTAGGAATGAACCTGCTGTGTGAACATGGACAAGTTAATCTCAAATTTGCCTTATTTCTTATTTTCATAATTAAGTACCAAATTAAATCTGAACTACCCAAGAGTAATACAGAAATTAGCAAGCAGTTTCTATCTATGGATAGGAGTCTCTGTAAACAAATACATGCGCTCTGGATATGAAATGAAAATCATATAGATCTGGCCACGTTTTCTCACTTTTGTATTACCTAAGGGTCTATCCTTCTAGGGAAATGATAAGCAAAAAGTGAAAACTACACTGTTGTCAAAATTGATCTTTCCCCAATATAGTTTGAGTTTTTGCATTTCATTTGTCTTTGCCCGGTAAATAGAAAATGAATTGAAATGCTGGATGCAATTGCATTTAGTTAACTCCATGACATGTAAAATTTAGCCAAATGTAGTTAGTTTTCTAACTAAGAGTCAAATACATGTTTACTTTACATTGTCTTTAGGAAGGAAGAAACACCTGAGAATTGTCTTTGATAATTACAGGTGCTTACATGCATGTCTCTGCCTTCAAGAATCTGTTTCTCGGGGTGCCTGGGTGGCTCAGTTGGTTAAGCATCCAACTCTTGGTTTTGGCCCAGGTCACGATCTCGGGGTCATGATATGGAGCCCCCCCTCCCCCAACCCGGGTCAGGCTCCACACTCAGCAGGGAGTCTGCTTGAGATTCTCTCTCTCTCCCTCTGCCCTTCCTCCTGCTTATGCTCTCTCTCTCTCTCTCTAAAATAAATAAAGAAGTCTTTAAAAAATCTGTTCTCGGTGTATGTTGCAAGGCCACAGAACGTCCTTTCTTCAAGACCATCCAGACCATCTGTCATGTGAGACTTTTTCTCTCCTGACTCTGCTCTGACCTCTGTTTTGTCCAGGCACATTGTGTGCTGTTATCCCCTTTAAAGCATGCACTCTGTCTAGATATAAACCTTTTGGGGGAAGGGATTTTGCCTTCCTTTATCCCTGTTGCCCTGCAGTAAATGTTTATTAAACACCATGCCCAGGCACCTGATTTTGTCTGCCTGGCTCACTGAGCTGAAGTCAGGACAGCCTCCAAGGTGCACCAGGGAAGCAGGCCCTGAGCTCACATGTCCTAGGAACTTTGATTGAACCTGAACTCAGGCCAGACTGTGTGTGTTGGGGACCCATTTTTCTTACTTAAACTAGGCAGTCCAAATATCGGGGCAGATGGATGGGAGCTGGAAAGGATTAAGGGCAGAGGTATTGAAGCACCTTTTTTCAGAGGCTCCATCCTTCAGCCCCTGCCTCATCCTGCACCAAGTTAATATGGTGTTCTCAAATTGTTTGGCTTCAATCCACCCCTCCTTAGAGGATGCTGTTCTGATTACCGTTTTTGAAATGTGCTCCAGTATGATGTGCCACTGACCTTTCTAATCTTGCTTATACCCAAGGTGATAATAAAACAATACAATGACTGATACAGGATAGGCATTCGCCACTTAGAATTGATGCCCCATCAGCCTGTGACTTCGTACCAGGGCACACCTATACACACCCAGGTGACATACATGAATATTTTATTAGATCTAATAACTTTTTTCTGATCATGAAAGCAATATCAACATTGTTATATAAATAGAGAAGCTCAAAGAAGAATCAAAAATATCACCTTCTGAAGATATATTTTTAATATCAAAATACCTTTCCTGGTAAGCTTTTTTTTCTGTGCTTCACCTGTAAGTATATTTATTTAAACAAACACACCCTCATATTCAGAAAATAAATGGAGATCATCTTGTAAAGAAAAGTAAATATAGATATGTGTATATATGCATATCTATATTTATATATACATACATACATATTTGTATGTGCACACACACACACAGTGGATCTAGGCTGCATTTTTCTTATTCTGTCTCTCAGTGTCCTGTGAACAATTTTGCATGTCCTTTCATATTCTTCTACATCATTATCTTTAGAAACCACATAACCTTCCATTGTATGGGTAATTCATCATTTAATCTATTTCATGTTTTATGTATTTTCATTATTTTTAACTATTTTGCTGTTAAAGTATGATGCAGTGAACATCCTTATAGATAAATATTTGAAGATTTCCATGAGAATATTATACTCAGAGGAAGAAAACGCGTCTTTTGGAAATCTCTATGCTTAATGATAAGAGATAGAAGAGAATTCCTAATTTAAATGCATCCATGTTTGTTTATTTGGCTTTCCCAATACTTATATGCAAAATTAGGTAATCATTATTTAGCCAAGAGCTAGATTATATGTTTTAGATTAGCATTAAACATAGAGAAGAAGATTTCCATGAGGAAAACAAACTAAAAGTAGAATTGCTTGAGTTATATGTTTGAATAATGCCCAGGCTGCAGTGACTGTTCTGAACACTTTCTAAGTAGAATATTATGGAACAAAACAGCTTTACAGGCTTAGAACAAAATTACAAGGATATTGACTTTTATGTGCTGAGAATACTCTAGCGCTTGCTTATGGATTTAGGAAGCTTTGTAGGACTTGCTTGGAAACCAGCATATCATTATATATTCTTTTTGAATGAAGTCAAACGATTTAGAGTCTTTCAAACAAATTATCTGATTGCTGTGTATTCCCTGGGGGACAAAGTAAATGCAGACCATTATATTCTACTGAAAGGAAAATTTTCTTATTAGCCAGAAGGAGGGTGATCCAAGAGAAAAATGGAAAGAAAAAGGTCTTCGGTATGTCCACATTAAAACAAATACACCAACAAACAACCCAACTGCTGACTGTTGATTACCACTGAGGATCTTCAGATATACCATGGATTTATTTCTTAGCGCAGTTGTTCCCTTAATAAGTCTGAATTGATGGGCTTCCATTTTGCTGACTTATGTGCTGCCAAAGGAAGGCAAATAATACCCCTTTTCTATCCCTGTCTTTCCCACGTGCATTTTCTTTAGAAGTATTGTCTTTATTCCTTGGGCGGCATTGGCTTGCAGCTGTCAGAAGAGCTTCATGATGGAGCATGATTTATTGATGCTGGGGCAGGCTGGAGAAGCAGCAGCCCAAGGTTGGGGTGGGTGCTAATTGGCCTGTTGTGATCCTTGCATGGCTGTCAGCTCTTCTGAGGTCTGAGTAGATCTGGAAAGAGAGTTAGGGCCGTGACACTTCTCATAATGGCAAGACATTAATTAGCTGTGAATTACAGCAGCACTTTTGGATATTACATATTATATGTGGTAGCCAGAGAATCTGTCTTCATTTGATGCCTGACAGGTAGTTTTAGCAGCCCTACTGTTATTTGTCACTGGTAGTGAATTGTTTTTCTGATAAAAAATATAAAATTTCGATTGCATGTCAACTTGTTTGGCTATTTTTTAACTTCAATGAAGTCCTTTAAAGACAATCATTATTGTTATTACCATTAATATTAAGTTGATGTTTGAGTTCTATATACATTTATATTATTGTTTAAAATACACTTTGAAGAAAATACACTTTGAGGGCTAAAACTGAGTTGCAGGTAGGTTTTTCAGAAGAGATTCTGCATTGCACATTGTAATTTTACTTTAGGCAACTCTGCATACAAAAGCCTCCAGAGTAGTAGAGGGAATTCCAGATTAGTCCTCAGTGAAACCCTTTCAAGAGCAAGCGATAACAGATTGCGGATAGTTGAAAAATGACCACATCGACGACACAAGGCAAACAAGCTCCTCAGCAGTATTCAGGGAGGTGCATTCAGGAGTTGACATCATTTATTTGTACATTTGCTTATGTCTTCAACAAACATTCGGGTGCCTACCATGGGCCAGGCCTTTGCTAGGTGAAGCGCAGTGAAGACAGCAAGGCACAGTCCCTGGACCCAGTCTTTAGGAAGATTATAAGCTGTCTAGTGAGAGGCGGTGGGGGCAGGGACCCAGTCTCTAAGGAGGGGGGCAAAGAGGTTTCACAGAGGAGGAAGCATTTGTGTTCTGGCCGATTTCTGTTGCCAGGTAGCAGTGTGGGAAGGCAAATGCACAGGGTTGTATGTCTGTGGTGTGTGTGTGTGTGTGTGTGTGTGCACGTGTGCATGTGTAGTGGGGTTGGAGTTGAGGAGAGGAGAGAAGGGATAGTAGAAAATGAGCCTGGAAAGGAAAGTGGGAACTACACCATCTAGGGCCTTGTATACCATGTGAGGAATTTGGACCTTGTTCTACAGGGGGAAGTTTTAGGCAGAAAGCGACCTGGTCTGACCTTCGAGAGCTTGTGAAGGGACGAGGTGATGGTCTGCGGAGGAGTGACAGGCAAACACGGTGGCATCACTTGTCACTGTTTGAAATCGCAGGTGCAAGGTGGCAGAGTTCATCAGCATTCCGCACAAAGGGGCAATGGGACCCAAGCTCAGCTGGTCCCACTGAAGCTCCGCTCAGGCACAGGGCAGCCCCAGAAGCCACAGGGCCCATCTGTTGCTCAACTTTTCTTATGGGGCAAGTGTGGGAATCGCCTGAGGACTCACAACAGCAGCTTTGTCTTGGTGCAGTCTGGGCTTGGATATCAACTGTTTGCCAGCTTGTTTGGAAATCTCACCACCTATGGGGTTTGGGCATGGTGGAAACTGCAGCTCCTTTTTCATCCAAGGAAACCATGGGATCTCTTAGAAGTGGAGTTTAGGTGCAGCCCCTCCTGATAGAGGGTGACAGTGAAACAGGCCCAGTGCGTTCTTGCCACACAATCAAGAATGAACTCCTAGGGTTCTTCACTAGAGAGTCCTGCTTATCTCCACAGATGAGAGCCTGAACCAGGGCAGAGGTATGGCAAATAGAGAGTAGGAAAGGGAGGTGAGAAATAATTAGAAGACGGAACTGACAGGAGTTGGTGGCTGATCAGAAATGGGGTACTATTGGGACGCAGAATCTAGGATGACTCTCGGATCTCTGACTTGAGTGAGGGGGTGGATAGTGTCAAGATGAGAAATATAGGAGGAGATGGTGTA